GACGCGTTTCAGAAAGGCGGGGCATAGAGGAGAAACAATAATGTACAGTATGTGGAAAATAATGTGCTTTTTGAACCTTAAACCGCATAAACACATTTCATTACACCAAACACACAAAATAATGTTCTTTTTAGCAACATCATATGACCCCTTTAAACATTAAATTGATCAAAGTCACAGTAAAGACATCATGCTACAATTTCTATTTTAAATATTATTTTTTCAAACATTCTTTAAAAACTTTTCAACAAAGAATCCTGAAATGTAAAACATAATGCGTAATAGCAGCACAACTGTTTTCAACATTGATAGAAATGTTTCTTGAGCAACATCAGAATGATTTCTGAAGAATCATGTGACACTGAAGACTAAGGTAACAGCTGCTGAAAATGCAGCCTTTCCATTACTACAATAAACTACATTTTAAATATTAAAACCGGTCATTTTAAACTGTAATATTTTACAATATTGCTGTTTTATTGTATTTTTGATAAAATAAATGCAGCCTTGGTGACCTTAAGGTGTGTCTTTTTAAAATATTTTTAAAAACCCATACTAACCACAAATTTTTGGTTAATATTTAAAATATTTTTTGAATGCCAAAAAGAGCTTTCTTGGCAAATGTTGTAAAGTGAATTTTTCCTTTTATTATGGACACTTATATCCTGTCATGATTCATAAACTAAACATAACATTTAAAATAACTACAAGGAAATCCAAAACAACACATCTGAGAGGTTTTCCATAATTGTTTATTGCAGCACCAGGCATGACATCTAACCCCTCAGAATATAATCTCAACAAGTCATGAGATACAATTCCTGGAATCGCATAAGACTACTGAAAGATGACAACGTTCACAAAAACCCTTCAGACAAAGCAGTACGAACACAAACACCAGGACAAAGCAGCAGAAGAATCACACACCACAACATTTAGCCATATTCTTCACCATTTGAAAGTGATAGTTTGTTGGTTGTAATACAACAATACAATATAACTAATACAATAAAAATAAAACCAGTGATTGGCTCCTTATGATTTAAATTCTCAACTTAAAAGAGAATTTAACCAATTCCTTGTCTTTAGTTATGCGATTTTAGAATTCCATCCACAGTATAAATCTTTCAGATACCCCGGTGCATAAAGTTCACATAATTCACCTGCTGTCTTGCGATTCGACAGCTTATCACACACTGAAACAAAACACTAAATGAACAATACAAATACAAAGTAGGCAAATACATGGGAGAAAATTACAAAAATAACAAAAAATACTGTACAAAATAATTGAAACACTAACTCATTGTTTATCACAAAGTATCTAAACAATACATCTGAGGGGATCATTTTAAAGGTACATAACTTTGTGTGAAGCACCTACCCTTTTCTCAGAAAAGAGCCTATGGGCATGTACTGTGGACAATCAGTAATGGAGAACGAAACCAAATTAACCCATATTGTTCCTTTCAACAAGTAAACGAGCGGCTGTCAACATCTGAAGGGCTATACTGCATTCTTTCGGAAAAGCTGCTGTTTCGTACACAAGGATCACAAGAAATTCTTCGGCAATCAAACCACGATAGCAGCACATGTACACTTCAACAACCATTAGTCATCAGAGGTCATCGAGAGAATAACATCATACGAGTTTTTGCGTCTTGTAAATATATGCACACGCTTTGGAATGTACTATCATTTTGCATAAAGAGATCGATTTTGACAGAATTTGAAGGGATAGTTCACCCAAAAAATAAAATTCTGTTTTTACTTACCCTCATGTCATTCTAAACCTGTATGACTACTTATTTTGTGGAGCACAGAAGAAAATGCATTTGGGGACAAAAATAGTTGACTCATACAGTGATTGGAACTACATGAAGAATGACATCACAGATTTTTATTTTTGGATGAACTATCCCTTTAAGTTGGTTCTCAATGAACAATAAAATCTATTTTTGTAGTAACAAGGAAGCAATAACGTATATTGATGGAAAGCATGTGATATACAGTATATGCGTTTATGTATATTAAACAGTCATGAGTTTTCCTGAGGGTGTTTATATCTCAGTAACGCTCTATTTGTAGAGCATAAAGGATCCGTTAATGCACATGAAAGGGTGTTTATGCTGTATTTTGTTTTGTGTTCAGGGAGCATGTTTATCTAACAGGGATTTGATGCGTTCATGTAAGGGCTGGCACACCCTCTGGTAGGCCTGCGGCGTGAGGTGCAGATAATCATACATGTCCTGATGTGCGATGGAACCGTCTGAGTGAATGAACCCAGGGTCCATGTCCAGAAAGGAGACATGAGACAGAGACACTACCTCAGCCTGAACTACAGCATTCACACTCGCATTACGCTCACGAAGAGGATTTGGACTTTTGCCTCTCGGCAGCAACCCCTAGTGGAGAGGAAAGAGAGCATTACATTCCATTACTGATGATAATTTTGGGCCTTTTACACCAAACAATGTGTTAATGGGACACTAATATCTATTGAGGATAATGCTGATGAAAATCAATTAAGAAATGACAGCCTGAGATAACGACTGAGATACTTCAATTTATATATGTCATAAAAGATAAGTTGAATAACAGTTAAACTGACATTAAAAGGTCAAAATGAATATGTACTGAATATACACTACCGTTCAAATGATAGGGGTCAGTAAGATTTAATTTTAGAAAGAATGTTTTTGAAATAAATGTCTTTTGTTCACCAAGGCTGCAATTTATTTGATCAAAAACAGAGTAAAACTGTAATATTGTAAAATATTATCCCAACTTCAAATTTATTATAAAATGATGGCAAAGCTGAATTTTCAGCAGCTGTTACTCCAGTCTTCAGTGTCACATGATCTTTCAGAAATAATTTGAAATATGCTGATGTGGTGTTCATGGAACTTTTCTTATCATTATCAATGTTGACAAAAGCGGTGCTGTTAAATATTTTTGTTGAAACTGTGATACATTTTTTTTCAGGATTTTTGATGAATTTAAAGTCCAAAAGAACAGCAAATTTTTGAAACATACTTTTATAATTCTACAAAGTAATTCTGTCACTTTTGAGCAATTTAATGCATCCTTGCTGAATAAAAGCATTGATTTTTTTTTTTTTAAATCTGACCAATCCCAACAGTAGTGTACATTATAGTAAATGTGATTAACTCTTCCATTTATATGATTAAATTATTTGAATAATTTTTGTTAAAATAACATTGTATCATTTTTATCTCCTGATTCTTTTTTTTTCTTCTTTCTCTTCTTGCATTTATTTATTTTTTTTGGAAACGTGCTTACATTTTGTTGGACAGGTACATTACTTTAGTTTTTTAAAGCATATTCTGTTGCCTAATTCTCTGCTGATCATGTCACAATAGCTAAGAAAATGGCACTTTGACAATACTGGTATGATGAATTAAATTAAACATGAAATTATTGTAAAGAATCAAACAATGCTGTGACAGAGAGGTAGTAGGAGCTAAGATAACTAACCAATACAAGTGTGTGAGCGCGGGGCAGTTTCTGATGGACCACATTGATGATGGCCATGATGCCTCCACAGATCTGTCCTGGGGTGTGACCATGATTATTAGTGCCTACCCACAACACCACCACCTGAATAAAAACACACAAAATATCACATTTATACTTACTCTATTTTGCTTCAAGAGGATCTTCCACATTTGTTTTGTTATTTCCTCTTTAAGATGCCCAAATAGTGTAATTTTCTTTCATGTCCCAATACAAATAAAGGATTCATACACAAATACAAATGCAGAGATTTACTGCCTCCTGTTGTTAATGTTGTTCTTTGTTTCTGTTGTTGAACGCCGCTCACAAATGACGTCGCTGTCGACTGGCTTACGTCACTTATTAATACACACTGTTGGTGCGAATGCAACCCTTTAAATAGTACTGGGAAATAGTTCGCGCAAAATCGTCCCAGTACTTTAGTACTGTACATTTAGTTCTGGAACTAAAGCGGTGCGAAAGGCCCTAATTACATAGTTTATCTGGACCATCTTGTATAGGGTGAAGATACTCCACCTTAATTTTTTGAAAAGCTTAATTCTTTCAAAGATCATTTTGTAAAATGAGAAAAACAAACTCTAAGAGTATTTAAAAGAGTAATCATTATTTTTAATAATATTATTTAATAAATGGTAAAATTCTTAAATCATATACCTTTGGGCTGATGTGGTCCAGTTCTCCATTCATGAGTCTCCACAATACATGCTGTGTAGCATCCCCACCAACCCCAAAATTCAGAGCATGGAGAGGAGAAAACAGCTTTCGCCAAACCTGTAAACAAACATAAAAACTAATTTTACACAAAAACATAAATATGTGTGCAGTCGCTCATATGAATGACAGATATGAAGTATGAAGAAGGAGATGCAGATACTTCGCTATACCTCAAACTCATGCAGAAGCTGGACAAGTGAATCTCCAACAAACAGAACATCAGGCTCTTTTCCTTTACTGTCTGACACAAATCGATTGTGCTGCAAGACGAGAAAACATAAAAATGCTATTACGACTCGATTTCCATATTAGAGAAGATATTGGCCAAGTATTTAAAACAAGGTGATATATTAGCAGCCTAATAGGGATGCTAAGGTTGTAAAATATATTATTATACAAAAGAAGCACCAATGACATCCATCGACCATCTCCCTGTATGTCCTGACAGGGGGTGGGTGTGGCTGCAGGGTTAGAATCTTCACTCATCACTTCCTGAGGACAGACATGACAGGTTACATTTTCTCCAATAGCGTCAAATATGTATCCTCATTTTAGACCAAACAATATTTAATTTAAAATTTTGACTACAACGTTGTGTTTTAAGCATACAAAATATTAAAATTTATAATGACTTTTTGACAAGTTGTACTGTGGTTAGTTTATGTAGTTTGTACACATCCCATGACAACCACAAATGCAGAAAAAAAATCACAGCTGAACTAGTTTGGTGCAATTTTTGGGTGAAGTTTGCACTGCAGTAGTTAACCTCACAAACAAGCTGGTGCAAAATTAGCATCTTATCTTATTAGCATCTAGCATCTTTGTGTTAATATATACAAAAGTTAACGTTCTTAGTACAGCTTACTGTGCTTATAACTAACCAGCTCACGTGGCTCGTGTAGCACTTAGCAAGCAGATACCTTCCATTTAGAGGAACAAGACGCAAATGCATTAAAACGCTGCGTAACATCATACTTTTGCTATTTAAGTATATATAATACATGTTAACACTAATATCGATTCATATTAACAAAAGACGGGAAATATCGTTACCAAAAAAATGTGTTGCCACAGAAAGGTTCAGTGTTCAATCAGTCAGCCAGCGGTCTGCTGCCAAACCCCGGAAGCTGGAATATCGAGCCAGGCATTACTGGCAGATCGCCGAGCACGGTCGAGCTTTAAAATAACATTATACTTTATAAACGCGAAAAGGTCAGTAAATGTCCTTCGTTTTTGATGTTTCAGTGGTTCAAATGTACGTAAAACATTCAAACATTAATTAATGCCAATTCTCTTGACAATTTCTTGCAATTTCTTCGCAGAAATCTGCGTTTGAGGTCCATCTTTGAAGCACGTTGCCAAGCAACGCAAAGGTAAAACGTAACGGCTTTTGGACTTCAACTACATACCGATGGTATTTGTTGATTTGAAATACATATATTTAACAAGGAAGAAAGTACTTCACTTTGAACACAAAGAATGCTGATCATTTGAGGTATGTTGCCATATGATGAACCTAAAAGTGCTAACGTTACGTGTAATCACAGTAAGCATGAGACTGTTAACTGAACTGTTAACTATTTATCTGAATTATAAATGCATTACAGACTAATTTGTTCCATTTTAATAACTTGTGTTTAATAGTCTTAACATGAAGATGAGCCACCAATCCAACAAAAGTTTTCTACATAACCATAACTTGCCGAAGACATCCAGTGACCGCCACAGTAGCACAGCCAAGTCTTCATGTCATACAGCCAATGCTGCCCACACCAGCAAACCAGTGTGCTCTAGCAGTATGAGAACAGATGTGCATTGCAACTCGTCACATAAAGTGAGGCATCTTAAAACCAGGAAGGAGAGGAATCAGATTCGAGGTCTGGAGAGAAACAGGTATCACCCAGGTTCTCAGCACAGCAGAAGAGAAGGTGGTGAGAAAGCACATCATCCACTGGCTTGCTCTAGAAAAGAGAGGGCATTCGCTAAGCCATTCATACCCCAGAAGCCAAGCATCATAACTAAAGGACGCCTTACTTCCAACCGAGGCCTTTTCAGTCATGAGATTAGGTCCATAGATATTGAGAGGCTGGTGAGCGAGCAGATAAGGAGAGACGAGCAGAGAAAAGAGCAAAGAAATCAGTCTATGATGCACATTACATCACCGCTGCCTCCCTCTGTACCTGATTCAGTCCCGGACTGCACTCTGGATGAAGTACAGGAACCAGAAAATAATACGCCGCCACAAGTGAAGAGGAAGAAAAGTTCAAGAAAAGAGCCTAGTGAAATAAACACAAGTGGCTTTCAGACTAATAGAGGGGTTGTTGTATCTATGGGACCATCTAGAGAAGATGGGAAGCATGACAGAAATGCCAACAGCAGAAGGGAAGATACTAATAGCAAAACAAGACAAGATAGTCCGAGTAGCCCCCCAAGAGAAACTGAACATGTGGTTTTGTCATCCTCAGAAAATGAACCGGTTTATCAGTTATGCTCTACTCCAGTTGAAACTAATATGAATAACTCTGATGTTTCACAAACAGGCAATCTCAAATGCCCTGATGAAGAAAACCAAGAAAATGGTTTTATGAATATTCAGAGATTTGAGAAAAACTCTACAACGGTGGGATTCCCAAACATGGAAGTTACGCAAATGTTCGAAAACCCGCAGACATTAACCTCTCTATCTGACCTGGACTCTGGGGCTGGTCAAGTAGGAGACAATGTTGAGCAAGGAGAGCAAATGTCACTGTCTTGTAGGAAAGAAGTGAAAAGGCTCCTGACACGTTTGTGCCAGAGTTCAGAGCTCCGTGTGCCAAGCCTTCGGCATCCCCTGCTGGCCGAGTGTAGAGAGGCGCTACTACAGGATTTACAAAAAAGACAGAGTTTCCAGTTAGAGCACAACCTCCACAGGCTACATTCGTTCTTGAATAGGAATCAAATGGCTTCTCAGCTCAGCTCAGGACAGAGAGATGAAAATTGTTCACCTTCTAGCCATACAGTGGAGAATGAGGATAGGTGCTTCAACAGGAACATGGAGATATGGACAGGTGTGTCAAATTTTTACATTTGTAAAAAAAAAACACGACAAATAGAAGAAAATTCTTTTAGAAATCAGTAGAGCATGAAAACATTGGCAAGGTCATTGGCTCAATTCCCATTGAATGCAATAAATGTATACTTTAAATACAGTGTAAGTCACTCTGGATAAAAAAGCTTTTGCCAAATTCATAAATTAAAATTAATAAATGGTAATTAAATGTCTTTAAATAAGTCATGTTGTAGCCATCAAGTAAAGAGTAATGACATACATTGTTCTTACACTTTGAAAATGTTTTTTTTTTTTTAAATAATGACATTATGCCAAACAGGGTTTTATTATTATTATTATATCAGGACAATTATATCACCTATTTTTGACGTAATGCACTCCAAAAATATAAATTTTAATTTAGAAAATATGCTTATCATTTACATGATGGATATCATTTACGATGGATATTTTAAATTATCTTTCTGCATCCTAGACAGTGCCATGCAACAAGATTACTTAACACAGGATGTTAAGCAGGACTTGGACAGAGGAGCTTTCACCAAGAAACGTAGGATACAAGAGTGGAAGACCTCGTCCAATCTCTTCTCCCTTGAAGAACCACGACAGTCACACACTGACATGGTGAGTAACGAAGTAAAGAATTAAATACAAATAATACCAAAATAGTTGTAAACTAGACTATAACAGAGGTTTAAAAAAATTCACAGCTTGCAGTTGAGGATTGTGTGGCTATTTTGCATGTGAATTTGATTGGTTAATCTTTGCAGTTTGACCAGTGGAGGGCAGCTAGGTTGTCTCAGGATTGCATCAGATCTCAGCATCATCGCAGCAGACAGCTCTTTAACCAGGAACAGACCTTTACCCAGCATGCTATACTCAAAAGCCCCACCTGGGTTGATCATCCTGTGGACTCCTATTCTCAGCAGCAGCCACTGAGCAGAGGGGAAAGTTTGAAAAACATAGATTTAGATCTCTCAAGAATCTCTCAACAGTGGAGGGAAGACAAAGATCTTGATTTGAATTCGTTTCACATATGTGAGAGCAGAAAACAAAAACCACAAGCATCTTTTGGAGGATCCAGATTCTGGTCGCATCAGCACCAAGTTCAGGATGAAAGAGAAAGATGGGCTCCCTTCTCATTCTCAGCATCCTATCTCTCAGAGGGCTTTCAATACAAGCCTTTTTTTCGCTGTCCACATCCATCTAACACCCAGCACAGGTCAGACTGTCTTGGTATGTCTCACTGTCCCAGGACAGACACACCAGATAGGGTATTTTACCCTCCCCTTTACCTTTAGCAAAGCTGTTTGCCACAATTGAGGCTGTTTGCCAAGATTATCTTTGTATGAGTAACACACTTTTTTTTTTTTGAAAGACCATCACCTTGAGATTTGAATTTGAGGGTTCAGTGTGCTCAAATTATGTACAGTCATGATTTCTCTGGTGTTTTTGCATTTACTGGTAACACAGGTATTAAGAGTGAATGAAACTGCTTAAAAACAAATTACTCTTTGTGCTGCACAAATAATAAAGCACCACACATTAGTTGTCTTTTATTCTCCTGAATTAATAGGGAAATGTTTGTTCGCAAGGATGCTGGTTGTTTATTTACTTATTTGATTATTATTATTATTATTTTTTTTTTAAATCAGATTCCTTCTGTATATCTTGTCTGGACTTTTATCATTAAGTTCAGCATTCTGTAAAAAAAAAAAAGAAGATGCAAATGGTTTTGTGATATTCTTTAATAAAGCAGTACAAAATTAGCAATTTACAATTTATATTTGGTAAAATATCCTATAGTAAACTTAAATGTAAGAATTCAACTGTGTAATACTCTTGTGAAGGTAAACCGATCACAGCTATTTTACCTGTTGAATGTATATATATATATATATATTATTATTATTATTATTATTACATTTTTTACCATTAACTCCTAATAAAAATTCAAAATTGCTTCTGGCGAGTTTGTATCTTTTCCATGATTATTTTTTCCATGTTTGCAAGCCTGCAGAATTTACAGCCCTTTAATTTACATTTATTGAAGTTCATTAAATTTGTTCTTATATTGTACAGATTAAATTATATGCCAGTGTAATCAGGGCATCAGGTAATATACTTCTTCATCTATTGGTGTCTGATTCACAAAATATTCTCTTTCCTCCTGGTCCGCACCCTCTTTGTCTTGCCTCCTCTGATCGTTCTGCTCCTTCATCTTCTGCTCCTCTTGGCTTCCAGTGTTGCTGCTTCTTAGTGCTCTCTTTAATTGATTCCAGAACAGTTCTTTTGCACTGTTTGGATCAGAACAGTTTGGCCCAGGCCACTGCAAATAAGTCTTTTTGAGCATGACCTTCCTCATACGGTGGTAAGTGGACAGTTGCCGCTCAGGGATAGGCTCCAGAAAGACCAGCAAAAGTACATCCTGCATTTCTTGAAAGAGGCGATAGCTGGCCAACTGGATCTCCAGTGAGCACCATTCGCTGCGAAGGAAGCTCTGACTGACCACACAGATCGTTTTGCGACTGCCATATACGGCAGCCACAATGTTGTCGACAATATCACGGCCCAGCTCGAAATCTCTGTGGTGCAGGCAGAGCCGAAATGAAGAACCCTCGAGGTTCGGCAACAGCTGTTCCATTACCCAGTCTTCATCTGCTGAGTTGTAGGAAACAAAGGCATCGTAATTGTATTTCTCCTCCTGGTCCCTTAAGCGACGCCACTGTTCTCCAAACCATGATCGAAACACATAGTAGCCGTACTTAAATTTCCAGTAGAGTCTGACATAAAGAAGTGGTATCAAGCTCAGTAAGATTGTGAATGTAAACGTTGAGGAAAACAGGTAGAGTGCTATGTCTAAATAACACACATTAGTGTCGAAGTTGTGAAAAAAGGAGCCTGGATGGTCTTGGCATGTAATATTGAAAAGATAAGGAAACTGGAGTCTCTTACTGCTTATGGTCCAGTTCTGCAGTTCACTATTCCGGCAGCCACAACTGAGAGGACAGCTGCGCATGTCAACGTATGTTAGATTGGTCAGATTGTCCAGTAGACTGATGTCCAAAGACATCATGGCATTGCGATTGAGATGTAGTTGCTTCAGTCCTGTGAGATTTCCAAAGACCTCTTTAGAAAATGATTTAATGCCCATGTTCTCAACGGATAATGTCTTTAATTTTCGAAGGTTTTTGAAAATACCAGGTTTGAGCTGGGCGATCCCAACACATGAGTTGTCCAAAGTTAAGAACTCCAAGCTTTTCAGGTCATCAAATGTTTCAGCACCAAATCCAATGATATGGTTGTTAGTGAGGTAAAGACTTTTGAGAGAAGTTAAACCACGGAAAAATGCGCGTGGCAACAAGTTTATGCCATTTGGTTCCTGTGCATCAAGTTTCAGATCAAGAAGCTTCGACATATTAATAAATGGCGAGTATGTATGTTCTGTAAAATACAGGATGTGGTTAGCCTGTAAATCCAGCACCTGCAGGGTGGCATGAAGTTTCCCAATGAGCGTGCTGTCTATCTCTTTCAGACGATTTCTGTCTAAATACAGATTGGCCAAGCTTTTCAGCCCATCAAATGCATGTGGCCTCATCTGCGTGATCTTGTTCCCTCCTAAATCTAAAATAATTAGATTTGACAGATATTGAAAGGCATAGTTGAAAATCACAGCTATTTGGTTGTTGCGCAGGTTGAGCGTTTTCAGGTTGGTAAGATCTTCAAAGGTGTCATTGTAGATATCGGTCAAAAGATTGTTATCGAGACGAAGTGTGACAAGATCTCTGAGTCCACTTAAGGCTTTATGGTCCAAATAGGCAATTATGTTTATGTTTAGCTCGAGGTTTGTTAAATTTGGTGTGTTACTGAAGGCATAACCACTAACCTGTAGAATACGATTGTAACGATAGCTCAGGCTTTTCAAGCTGTAGAGAATTTTAAATGTGTCGCAGGACATTAGCCTGGTCAGATGGTTATGTTCTATCTTGAGAGTTTTCAGTTGGTTCTGACAGTGCAGAAACTGCAAGCAGCTTGTGGTTTTCATCTCGTTCCGCGAGAGGTCCATTAGATCGGTGATACTGGAGCAATTACAAAATGTGTTTTTGTATAGAACTCTTATGGAATTGCTCTGGAGTACCATTTTAGGTATTTGATGATATCGCAGGTGAAAACACAGCGAAGTCAGAGCATGATGCTTCAGTTTCAAACCAGAGAAGTCGATGTGCCTTGGTTGAATATTGGTATAATTAAGAAGCTTGCTAGTGGAGACATTGGTAAAGCGCAAGCGCAGGTACTTTATACTCTTCAGATTCAGGCCCTGAAAAGTCTTGGATGACAGTAATTTGTTGTCTGATAGATCTAGCACTTTCACATACTTTAGGAAAGACTTGTCACATCCCAGTTTGTGTAGTTTATTATCACTGAGGTAAAGTTTGGCAAGCGAGTTTGGCAGACGGGTGGAGTGATGCAGGGTGGTTAGATTGTTAAAAGAAAGGTCCAGTTGTATCAAGCTGGACAGGTTTGTTATGCACTCAACCAAAGATGAAAAGTTTTTCAGGTGGTTCCTGCGTAGGTCAAGAATCTGGAGGTTTGTCAAATTGGAAAACAGGAACAAATCAATATAAGTGAGATTATTGTTTCCCAGGAGCAGCTCTGTGAGGTTATGTAGGTCACTGAAAACATCACGGTGGAGAGATGATATGTAATTGCAGGACAGATTTAACATCTGAAGATTTTGCAGGTTATTAAAAGCATCTTTGTGGATGCTAGCAATATGGTTAGCATCTAGTACCAGAGAAGTCAGTTTATACAGATGATGAAAGCTTTGGCCTTGAATGTGTGTAAGGTTATTCCGAGAAACTGTGAGGTTTGTTGCAGTGGGAAATACATCACTCACAATTGTAGTTATGTCTGTTTCATGACATTTAATACATCTGAAGGTTTTATGATTAGAATCAGGGATCTCAATGCAACTCCTGAAACTGTAGCTGAAGGCAAGGTTAAGGAGGCAGATGAATATTGCCTTTATGATCAGTTCACGACATGCAGATTCTGCCATATTTTTCAATTCCACTTTTTAATGTAACTCCCATTGACTGCCTTCATGAAAGTCCAACACTATGAGGTTCTTCACTGAGCAGCAAACACTTAGAGTTTAATACAGCCAGCTGCTAGAAAAAAAGAGGGAAAGGTTATAATCAGTTTGAATTGGAAATAAACTGTTATTATTTATTAATCCATACATAATGTTGCTAGTCAAACTTACATATTTTTTTTCCTCTTTAAATGTAACAAATGCATCAAGAACATGTTATGGATGTCTTATTTATTTATGATAAAATCACTTTAAAGATGATGTATCCAATTTATTTGAATACATGCAACATATACAAAAACATCCTACAATTACATTACTCAGAAACAAACTTCTGTAATGTACTCTCACATAATCTGTCTCAACTGCCCATTTCCCACTTCTCAGACCCTTTTCCCCTTTTGTTCTATTTACATCCTTAAAATGTAAAGAAGTATACAATAATGGATTGAAACTATAAAATCATGGTAAATATTTAAAGACCTTCTTAAAGAAGGTTTTCCTGGAAATGCATGACAAGCTCTTCTTAACAAGTTTCTCTTTTTTCACATTCCCCGTTGTTCATGATAATGACATTCAAGTACATACAAAGGCAAAAAACCTTTCCCGCTGAACAAAGTAGACAGTGAGCTATACATGTCACATTATTCTCTCTAGTATTAACAGGTTAAATACAGAGAAAAATCTCAGACTCACCAGTGAGCAATCCTATATAGCCTGAATCTCATATCTTTCATTAATTCATATTATTACATTGACTATTTTGCTTAAAAACAGTCTTTAGATTGAAACTTAAACTAAAATGAACTTGATTCAGTAGCTTACCTTCATGAAATCGTCCCTGATAATTCTGCAAGACTATCATAGGCGTTCTCTCTCTTTTAAACAGGACATTCCCTTCACAGGAATAGAAAGAGGAACCAAAAAATGTTCATGCCAGAGCAAATAAGATCAGACAATGGATCGCATAGCCTGATCCAATGGTTTTGATTCATTATTCAGAGAAATCTTGAATACTTTCTTTAAACAAATAAATGTATAATAATAATCATCATCATCATCATCACCATCATTATAGCCCTAAGTTGGAGTAGGCAGTAGGAAGATATTTAAGTGTGAAAGGACAAATCATCAAACTAAAGCAAAAAGTTGATTCATAATGTAAAACCTATTAGCATCATGATTTAATGTAAGGTGTAAAAATTTAACACATAACTAACGTTGTGTCTTTGATTTCATGCAGCATTACATACATATATTTGAAGGATCACAAGAACCATTGATATTTTGGAATATTCTTAAAACAAACAGAAGAAAAAGATAACAATCCCAGTCATCTAAATTAGCCATCTATTTTACTCCTCTTCATTTTCTTTTTAAATTAGCCTCTTGCTTTCTGTTCTCGAGCCATCTGACAGAGTCTACAGAAAGGACAGCAGGT